TACCTGTCTGACCCTCTACCTGTCTGACCCTCTACCTGTCTGACCCTCTACCTGTCTGTTTTCAGATGAATGATGGCCAGTTTACCACCATCCAGCTGGTGGGGATGCTGCGCGGCATCGCAGCAGGAATGAAGTATCTGTCTGAAATGAGCTACGTCCATAGAGACCTGGCGGCTCGTAACATCTTGGTGAACTCCAACCTGGTCTGTAAGGTGAGGGTGTGGCCCTGCACACCTGTCCACTCGACTAATCTAAACAGATCTGACAGTTGTGGTTTTGTGTTTTTCAGGTGTCAGATTTTGGCCTGAGCAGGTTTCTGACTGAAAACTCGTCAGACCCGACGTACACCAGCTCTCTGGTGAGTAACTCTTTATGATTCCTGATATCCTTATCTCAGACACAAAGGCCACACCCATCTGCTGTAAGGGACAGCCAATCAGAATAAAGTTGGCTTAAAGGAAAGAAGATGAAATGGGCTCTTTTGAGACAGAGGATGGACTGGGGGAGGCTGCATCAATGTTTCAGATAAAGCTTTACTTTGAACTGTGAATCATGCAAAGCTGCTCTCGTGGAGTCCGTTAATAAAATGATGGAGCTGGAACTGATTAGCATCCACTTTAAAGACTAAAGTCTTTAAGACCTTCATCATCAATCACGTCTGTCTGGTTGGTCTTTCAGCTGTTTAGGTTCTGCTGGAGATCCTCAGGGTTCTGGTCTCGGTCCTCTGTTGTTGAGCTCTATATAAACAGGATCAGTTTTCCCTGCATTACCTGGTGCTTTTATTGTGAAATCCAGTTATTACCTGACTGATCCAGTCTTGTTTTTTAGGGCGGCAAGATTCCCATTCGGTGGACGGCTCCTGAAGCCATCGCGTACAGGTGAGTGCCGTACTGCAGGCTGGCGTAGTGGATAAAGTCTTCCTCTTCTTATTGTTATTATAGTGTTCTGTAGATAATCATTTGATGAATTTACTGTCTGATTGCAGGAAGTTCACTTCAGCCAGTGACACGTGGAGTTACGGGATTGTCATGTGGGAAGTGATGTCATACGGGGAGCGACCGTACTGGGACATGAGCAACCAGGACGTGAGGACAAAAGCTCTACATTTAAAACTTGTTTGGAAGTTCAAAAAGCTGAAATTATTCCAGCAAATGTGTCCAAAGCTGATGGTTAAAAAAGTGCTCACTGCCTCTCACGCTTCTGCTTCATCAGGTGATAAACGCCATCGAGCAGGACTACAGGCTTCCCCCGCCGCCAGAGTGCCCCGCCTCCCTGCACGCGCTCATGCTGGACTGCTGGCAGAAGGAGCGAGCCAACCGGCCGAGGTTCTGCGACGTGGTGGCGTCCCTCGACAGGCTGATCCGAAACCCCACCTCCCTGAAAGTGACGCACCCAGAGGCACAGAGGTGAGGCTCGCTGAAGGAGAGGGGGCCATGGAATGTCATTCAGGCGCCAGCTGGTGGGTCGGGGTCAAAGGTCAGAGTGTGGCAGGGAGACAAAGGAATGTGGGGCAGCCAGCTGTGTGATTGACAGCTGTTTACACGAGCAGGTGCACATTCCTAAAACTCCAAATGAAGCCTGTCCTCCCGACTGTCCACCTCCTCTTTCAGAGGAGGAAAATCAGACACGAGGAGGAGGAGGAGGAGGAGGAGGAGGATGGAGATCAGTGTCAGATAAGAATGAGATTGTGAGGCGACGTGCATGTTTGTGCTTTCTGAGAGGAATAAAGTAAAGCAGATAGTAAAGCAGTACCACGGGTGGAGCAGCCTCGGGGAGCTCACTGTGGGTCTTTCAGGTTCTGGTTAAACTGTGTGCAGACCAAACAGGAAGTTTCAGCTCGCCTTACGTGCATGAGTTCAGTTGCTGGGTTTTTTGGAAATTCACAAATATTTGCCAAAGGGCGGAGGAGTGAAGTGATGGGAGAACCTCAGTGCTGCTGTGACACAGCGTGAAACTATTTTTCTCTCTTTGCCAAAGTGGACATATTTTCACTTGCACGAACACGTATGCACGAACTGTTCGCGTCGCCTGGCACGGATTTCAGGTTGTTTTGAACACACAGTGAGAGCAACCCTCCATAGCAGGACGAGGACCTCCACCTGAGTCCAAGAGGTGGAGCCAAGTCCATCCACCACAGCAGCTGGCCAATCTGCCGAGGGAAATCGGAAAACAGGAAACCTTCAAAATAAAAGCAGGACAAGTCTCCTGTATAATAAGTTGGCACGTTGAAGCAGTGATGCAACACTAAAGAATATAATTTAATATACCCAGCCAAAGCCGGGTCATGACCGGGATAATGATCCCAAACACAGCAGCTCCTTCTTTACACCAAATTACACGTCTTTGATTTTAAGACTGAAAAAGGGGTTAACATGTAAACCTTAGCAGCTATATTTAAGACCTACGTGTCATTTTAAGGGTTTCCTGGCTTGAAGCCAGCACGCTCTGCTTATTTTAACCCCAACCATGACAGAGGGAATAAATCTCACGCTCACATAGTCATGCCACATATTTTATAGGCTGCAGGTCTGAACGCGCTGCTCTAATAATGACTCACTGAGGAATGTCATCGTTCACATCTGTCCTTGCAGCCTGTCCCATCCTCTGTTGGACCAGCGAGTCCCGCCTCCTCTGTCGGCCTGCGGTTCGGTCTCCGAGTGGCTCCGAGCCATAAAGATGGAGCGCTACGAGCAGAGCTTCCTGCAGGCCGGATTCACCAACCTGGACATCGTCTCGCAGCTCAACACTGAGTAAGACACTGATTGGCTGCCTGCCAGTCAACACTCAGGGAAACCAAGCTCTATATTTTGATTTATGTATTTTCATCACCCTCTTTCTGTTTCCATAGAGACCTCCTCAGAGTGGGCGTGACCCTCGCAGGGCACCAGAAGAAGATACTCTCCTCCATCCAGACGCTCAGGATACACAAAGCTCCACCCACCATGCTCTACTGACCAATCGCAGCCTGGTCACAGCACGACACTCAAAATGACCCTGACACTGTCCACCGTTGTACCCGATCCAGCCAATGGGAACGCTTTACAGCCTGAAACACTAACTGATGTAGTTTCAACCAATCAGAACGAAGGAATGAGATGACCATTCTTTGGCGGGCTGGTTGAACCTCAGGATTTCTATCGCCTCGTCTCGCTCAACCACATCCCGAGGTTGCTTGTTTTTTTAAATCACAGAAATCAGCCAATCAGCATCCAGAAAGGATGTTGGAAGACTTTGGAAACTATTCCTTATGTGGACTCTTCTGATTGGATGTTCCTCCACTGTAAAGACTAAGCTCCGCCCCTTGCTGGGAGCATAGCTTTCCCAGCCTGTTTGATGGCTGGAGGATTTTCCACTGAAGAAACATCAAGAGAGAAAAATTACAGGCAGAAAATGACTAAATCCTGCTGGAAACACAAGCAGGAAACTTTGGTTTGTACTTCCTGTAGAAGAAACCAACCTTTGCAGGATGCTGCCACTGTGACCGCACAGACCTGAGAGCCAAATGGGTTTTACGCTGACGTGGTCGGTGTTTGAGTTTCTTCAAGCACCAATAGGAATCTGAACACGTGTTTCTGAAGGACATCTTGGGAATGTGGGAGGAAATGTCGCAGGAATTCCAACGCACCGGTCGGTAATCTCCCTCTCGGTGGGATTATTTCCACACCAGCGTTCAGGACCATCTGAAGGGATTCATGATGTGACCTGTCAGCATGTTCTAGTAAAGTTTCAGCATCATACTGTTTGTAATCTGTGAGGAATATTCTGGGTTTGCCTCAGAAAACACCGGTGTACTTTTTAAGGAAGTCTTTGGGAATGTTCGCTCCTTGTTCAAACCAGAACTTTTCCAAATGTGATTCTCTGGATTAAGTCATGTGGGAGTATTTAACTGTACACACGGTAGTTTTAATTGTTCGGTGCCTACAAACGATCGAAGCCCAGCTGTAGTGGGTTTCTGTGTTGTGAACGTACTCAAGTGTATTTCGTCCTCCAGCTGTGAGGCATCATCTTTGTAGACTCAGCTCCCTGTAAACGTATGAACTGTCCGTACGTGTCATTTATCAGCTTTCACGTGTTGGGCTGAAGCCACTGCAGGGTTAATGTTTTAAGACCATTTTCCACAGGAAGTGAAGCCATTCAAAGCTTCGGTGTTGGACACGAGGACCACGTTTGAGGACTACAGCAGAAATCTTTTTGTTTAATCGTGAACTTTTGATGGTTTTGTATCGTAGCACTTTTCTTTTGTACCTGATATTTGATCGTATTTTTACACAAAGCAGGAGATCAGAGTTTTTATAGTAAACCTACATTTCAGGCGAAACGTCGTCTTCACTTTCTGAAGAGTATAAAAACAATCTGCCTTAGCTTTCACGGAGTGAGACGATCCAGGTTCAGGACCAAAGATCACATCTGCCCACTGGAGCGAGACTGTGCGTCCGCCTCACTACATAAATGTTTAACAGCGGCCCACAAACCAGCTCTTCCACTTTTACAACACTAACATTAACCATCAGGCCAACGTTTGGCAGTTTGCCTCTTCAGTCTCTTCTGTTCTCCGGCCAAACACTCACTAATGTGAGGAGCAGTCTTAGCGATGCTTCACAGACAGGAAATACCTGAACACTGCCGTCACCTTCCTCACCGAGCCACCATCGTGGTCATCGTCTCAGGTGTAACTCCAGCAGATGATGATCAGTTAAAACCACCGAACTAATCATGTGACCTGAGGAGATTGTCCACTGCAGTGTTTCTGCAGAGGTTTGCATGCATGCAAAGGAGCTGTTGGGTAATAGAATATAACAGGTGTTCTCCTACATTTTTAAAGTCTTGTATCCTGTCGTTGCAGAGCGGTAACCTGAACAGACGAGACTGAAAAGGCCTCTGAGATCAGAGCTGACTGAGATATAGAACAAAAAGAAGGATTGTTGGCTGTAGATCAGGGGTGTCGAACTCCGGGCCTGCAGGTTTTAGATCTCACCCTGGGTCAACACACCTGAATCACGTGATTAGTTCGTTACCAGGCCTCTGGAGAACTTCAGGACATGTTGAGGAGCTAATTTAGCCTTTAAATCAGCTGTGCTGGGTCAAGGACATCTAAACCTGCAGGACACCGGCCCTCGAGAGTTGCCCACCCCTGCTGTAGATCCTTCAGTTGTAGCGTAGGACTTTTGGATGGATGAAAACATGAAACTGCCAAAAGGAGCTGCCGACATGCTTTGGTTGGCCTCCAGCTGGAGGCTGAAACATCCAGTAAAGCTTCTGTCATCAGAGTTCTGATCATCACTGAATCACGATGGTGTTTTTACTGAATCACATAAACTGGTTCATTGGTCCATCACCTGCCAGTCAAAGCACGAACGGGCCAATAACAGCTCCTCTTCGTCATGCCTCCTTTCTGTAAGTCACAGTGTTGCATGATGGGAGTTTGAGTCCGTGGCAGTCCACCATCGCTCCACTTTCATTGGACAGACAAAGGTAAACACTTTGTTTTGGGAAACAAATTTTATTTAATGAGTAATTTTGAATGTTGTGAACTCAGCTCTGCCTTTTATACGTCCACACTAATGTATGAGAATATTTTTATTGTTAATAATGTTGTCGTAAAGAAGGATGTCCACTGGGCGAGGGAAACTCCAATAAAGATGCCCGACGACACGTCTGCCTGTCTGCTTTGTGTTAAAACCAGGAGAAAACTTTTACTTTAGTTATTTATGAAGTAAAACCAAACTCAGGCGCCTCTTTGTAGCCGTGTTACGTCTGAGTCACCGTCAGTGACAAATACGTTAGATATCAGAGGACGTGTTGTTTCGAGCTCACAGGGGTCGGGAAGGAAACGTGGTTTGGCCTGATTTAAGCTCCAGATGAGACGGGATAGATCCTCAGCAGGTTAAACCCCCGATGGGAGCGTAAGAACATGGCGCTCGGCAGATCAAACCCAAAGAGATGAGGGTTAGGTGGGCCAGCTTTAAGACGAACTACAGGTTAAGGTTAGGTAGAGGGCTGGGTTTGGATTAGAGCGGGTTTATCCCGTTAGAAGACAGGATTTTGGTTTTTGGATGTTGTTCTTTCAAGTCATGCAACCAGGTAACGAGGAGGTCATTCTGTGTGTGGAGGTAATCTACCCAGCCCTGTGATTGGGTAGTTTTAGGTACAGTAAGCTCGGCTTCACTTCTCTGCAGACAAAAGGACGCCACCTTGGTCCTTGATGGTTAACAGACTCTTGCAGTTCATGGTTACGTTCTGCCATCAGCTTCACGTCTCAGCATCTGGTTTACCTGATCTAACTGAAACTGATGCAGTCGTCTTAGAAATGTTTCACACACAGGATCGTTTTAACGATTTTGATATTGATCTCTTCTAAGGCCGTTCACTCTGAGCTACAGCTCTGACCTTTCACTGAGAGCACCTTTAAATCCTCGGGCAGATGTCTGCAGCCTGTTTCGGGGTGCGGCTGAAGACCAGGGAGGCTCTGCAACAATCTGCCCGAGGTGACTCGAACTTTTATGGCAGAGCCTTTCCCCGTTTCACTCGAGATTTCCTTTCAACTACATTTTATTTCCTGCAGA